CTTTCCCAACTGAGTTGTTGCTTTTTTAAGCGTTCGATCTCTTCAACGGACTGGAGTTCTTCTCGTTGCTCCTGTATTTGTGGGCGGCAATAATCGAGTGGTTAGCATTGCGTGCTAATATTCGGACTGCCAGGTTTGGAGTCGTGGACAGACCAAACATCCAATATTATCGAAAATTAATTTTTCGAATTACGATTACACCACGGCAGGAAATGTCAAGTCTGCGAGTGAGATGAAATATAAGCTCTGCATAAAAATACATCGTGCGTTCAGAGGCGGCGTGGGTTAAACTGTAAATCTCACCATTTTGTTGGGAAAGTATCAAGAAGCACAACATAAATTGGAGAAACAGCTCGGACGAAAACTGCTTCAGTGGTTATAAAACATGAATTATAATGCCGTATATTTGGTACTGGTTGCCATACCAACGACTACACTCCACACCATCGATAGTACGCAAAGGTTTGTCGCCGTCGCCTGCGTCTCTGAACCACACAGTATGACGGGAATGATGACGTCTGTTAAAAGCTTTGACATTACAAACTATTCAATGCCGCAATGATACCGCTGGGATGCTACCGTCGGCATCTATTATACTAGTAGACTATAAAGTCTCCATTCAGACAGTCTTTAGACACCGTACATCGTTTCAACACACTCATAAAGTCTCTTCCAGTGAATGCGGTTCTTGAATTCCAAGCTCCACCTATTGCGGATGAAGAGCCCGAGTTGCCGCGAGGGACCCGAGTAATATTGTCAACTTAATTACTACCTTTCCAGACTTGCCCCCGATTTGCACTTTTCATGACCCTAAAATCTACTCCTCTAACTCCCTTTTCTTCTGGTTCGAACCCGTCGAGATAGCTCGTTACCTGTATGATATCTTACCGACAAGAATACTTAGGTAACTGTCAACTGCTTAGGTCAAATGGTACTCTCGGTGCAGTGTATATACATTTATATTTATATTTTTCCGATAGGCAGGGCAGCACTAAGAGCCCTTGAATCTAACACAATAAAAACAGAAACGGAACTGCAGTAAATCACTAAACGCGCTAGTCAAACAGTTCTCTTTGAACTAAGTATGGGTATCAGGACACAGTAGCATATCCGATACGGTGATGATAGACGAGCTTGCAAGGACACTTTCTTCTCCATTTGCCATTATTAAAGTGTTGTCTATAATGATTGATCTTCTAATGGGACACCTTACGTTAAGAAAATAGATACACAGAGAGATTAGACGTTCCGTCAAAAATGACTCTTGCACGAGTTGTAGGGAGAAGAAAGAACCAGAAACTTTGAGGTTTCCTTTGCAAATGGCGCAAATTTGGAGGAGGAAAAAGTCTCTCGGGGCGGCAACCTTTGAAGACTTGGACTTATTCATGCTATTTTCACTACAATCTGAAAAAAAACCAAGCGCTTTGTTTTTGCTTTTTTAGGTTATGGTTTGATTATGAAACACACACGTGCTAAATTACTGCATTTAATAAAAAAAATTCTACGAAATGCCTTTTTATTTGTTTTAATTTAACCTGAAATTGCGACCTTGCCTAACAGCTATCGGAAATTTATCGAAATCAGATGATTGGCGAGGAGCAAAATTTACATAAAATAAAAATAAATAATTATATTTGCAACGAAAAGATTACGAGTATTTAAAAGTAGATCAATAAGAAAAATTATCATAAAAAAATTTATGAAAATTTAACTACAATGAAATTGTTTGTGTCGGCCATTATGCTCCAGGCCAACACTGCCACATCGCCTTCTTGGCTTCACCTGTGGGCACTTTTTCTTGGCAAAAGTGAAGTAAATAAACAAATCAAGTAAACAACAGTGTTGTGGAAATTCAAAAAATATATAAATATGTATATATCTATTTATGTTAATTAACTTTTTTTTTACACATTTCGACATATTTCACATACAAATCACCACCAATTAACTTTGTGATGAACTCGACTAGATCATTTGCACAACAATTCAATTAAGGCATTGTTCGAGTTTATTAAACGACATATGCATGTACGTGTGTATGCGTGTGTGTATATGTGTGCATATGAACCTACAATGTAAACATATCAATATAAATAATAAAAAATAATTTATTTACTCATGCTGCTCATATGTAGTGTGTTACAAATAGCTTATTAATTTACAGCGTTGCATTTTCAATTTCCCTCAACTACATATGATTGTTCGTGAACTTGACTTGTTGCATCGAAGTCGTCAATTTTACATGCAGCTGCTGGTAGGCGCGTCAACGCGCTAGACAGCGAACCAATTAAAATTTATTAGCATTTTTAGTATAATTTTTTATTTTCGCCAAGACATAAATAATTGAATTATTTGATAAACAATATTTGCTTAAACATACGTATGTTTGTATGTAAAGCTATTGCTTAATTGATATATTTACAATTTGAACTCAAAGCTAGTTTACTACATAATAATAGTTCATAAAATTGATTGCACAAAACAGGTGAGAAGGGTTGAGAAGTGATTTACAGGGTGACCGTTTTCAAAATTTTCTTATTTTTTATTTTTGTTCATTTAAAATTTTTTTTGATTTTTTTTTATTATTATTATTATTTTTCAAGTTTTTTGAGGCATTTTTTGCTTGTTTTTCTTTTGATGGTCTTTCCGCCACCCATGGCGATTAGCTATCATCGCTTTTGATCACTACATATCTACATATGCCCTTCTGCTCAACTTAAAGCACGCGACCGATCTTTTTCCCATCAACATTCTAACGATATTGCCAATCTTCTTCTTCTATCGCATGCTTCGTTATATGCATGTTAATTTATAAGTAAGCATTTTTTATACGATTTTTTTAAAAATTTTTTTATTATGATTTTTGCTTTTAGTAAATATTTGGACTTGACCAAGAAGCTGATATAATACATACATATATATTTATTTTATTTATGTATATTAGTTTTCCTAAGTTATTCCTACTATTTTTCAATTTGTACGTAAATATTTATGTAAATATCGCTGTATGTATGTATGTGCGGTGGTGCGTTGTATGACATTGACGTTGCGCACACTCAGCCATGAGACGTCAATAAAATTAAATTTGATATGATGACGTATTTGTAGTAGCAGCGGTCACGTAAAAAACAGAAAAAACAACAAGTTAAGTTGTTCACTTAAGTATGTTTTCTTCCGATTGGTAAATTGAAAGATGCTAACTAAATAAATATTTAAATTGACTGTAATAAGCGCAGCGGCAGGCGGAAAGAATGATTGATATGGAAATATATTTTACATATTATTATTTTTTTTACTGGAATACCGTTAAACAGAATTTTATTTATTGCAATATTTTATTATTATTTTCTTGATAATTGTTAAAAAAATTATTTAAATTTTATAATTTTGAGAGTCACGTAGAAACAATCGGTTATCGATATCTAAGTTTTTTAGGTTAATATAATCAACGGAAACATATACTCGTTGGCAGTTTTACCCACAGTACTAGAATTATTTGTGGAGGAATTTTGTTGGTAAAAAATGTATTAAAATGGAATTCAGAGCTCAAGAACTGAACTGAAATGTTCAAGCTCGCATATGGCGAACGTATTCTGAGTAAAAAATACTGAAGCAAAAGATCGAAAAGACGCCGGAGGAGCACAAATTAAAGAAAGTGAAAAAATCGTTACAAAGCAGTTGCAGCAGAAATTTTTCCAAATAGTTTGGCAACAATGTGCCTATCAAAATTTATGTGACAACCGACGCATGAGCATCGCTCAGATTTGTTGAGCGAAGTTAGTAAGAAATAATTCGAATTCGCTTAAAATGATTATAACCGATATGATGTCATAGTTATGAAATCGATCTCGAATGCCAATTATTCCAATGAAAATACGCAGTAGAGCGAAGATCGCAAAAACACGACCAGTTGATCAAATGTCGAAGTTTTGTTCACTACTTTCCTCGAATTCCCTAAGGTGATTCGGTCAATGAGTAATACTATTTTGAGGTTATTATGAATGAAACAAGCCCAGAATTCATTATAACGCTTGCAAAGCGATAATACATATATTCCACCATCATTATTAGTTCAAATTTTTTTTTTAGCTGAAACCAACTCAATTTCACCGTATTCACTAGTTTTTTTCGACCCTCTTAGAGTTTTTCCTGTAGTCAAAATTCAAGAGACCCATTAAAGGCCGACATCTTGCTGCGTTTTCACTCAAGAGATTCTCCTTCAGTTTTTGGTGTGTGTCTTGATATTTTTTTCAACAGATTTAGAGTTGCTTTTTTTGACTTCCCAACGACTATTAGATTTTTATGAGAATTTTCTTATTCCATTCCGGAAATATATTTGAAAGGGTTGACGGTTACTTCCGAGAAAAGTGTTTTATATTTGGTCAGTATTGGAACCCGTGTCGCTCCGCATGATAGCATATACTGCTAACTACTTGGCTATTGTGACTGCATAATAAAACGTGAAGGGCTCTGAAGGGAGAACTTACTTTGAACCGGACAAAAAACAATTTCAAAACGAAAAAAATCCTTTAAATAAAACAAAATAAAATGTTATAATTTTTACTTAAAAAAAGGACACACAAAAAACTTTATTAAAAAATAAAAAATACTATAATTTTTAATTAAAAAAAATCCATACAAAGTAATACTATAATTTTCACTAAAGAAAGAGAAATAAATTCCTTATAAAATCCACCTGTTGCTGCAATTTTATATAACGAATTCCCCAAAGCAACTCAAATCAATGCTGCACAAGCACTCGCGCATAAAATCAGCTGTGACCAAAAGAATTTCGCTTTCATTTCTCTATGAACCGTAAGCGTTTAACTTGAAATTTCCCCAGGGCAAACTTCTCGCCGAAATGTAAAAAAGTATGTATACATATGTATATACGTAAGAGTATGTACGAGGCAGAAATTTGAACAAACCTTCAGGCACGCGCACACAGACACACACTTTAGCACCCTCATTGCTTCTTTACCGCAATCTTTTCAACTTACCTATGTTGAAATTCTTTTTTGGGGCGGCAAGGATGTTGACAAGGATAATCGCTGCTTTTATTTGATTTTTTTTCTCTCTCTGAATGACCGTTTATTTGTGTGTTGGGGTTGGGCAGTAGTTTGCAATTGTTGTTGTGGTTGTTGTGGTTTAAGCGTTTTATTTTTGATGATGAACTGTTGTCGACTTTATAGACTGTAATTATTGTTATTGGTTGCTATTGTTGTTGCTGTTATGGTTGTTGTTGGGTTGTGCGGATGGTATAGCTTAGCGTTGAATTCCTGCGGGAAAGACAGCATTAATAAGAGAGGTAAAGAAGGAGAGAGTGCTATGTTAGTAAGTAGCGGTGCAATTAAGTAATGTTCTGTGAATTCAAAAGCTGCTTAGAATTACTTAATAATTATAAGTAGTGAGCGATCATAGAGAATGATTCGTTTTGTTGTAATGTCTAGGGATATTTTTTATTTTGATTTATTATTGTTCTTAATCTTTGATACAATAGTCACCTGTAGATATGGTAAATGAAAGTACAGGGTTATCAATTTTGCGGTTTTGAAAAAAAAACAAGTATTATTCACTGCATTTAGAATATTTTTTTTCCATGAAATTCCTTTTTTATTATAAAATCTGAACCTTGGCATTATAAATATGTGAAAAACTATATTATTTAAATTACCGTCTCGCGAAATTTTGCAAACTTGAATCCGTTTGAGGTAATTCCTGATCACTTTTTGACACATATGAGGGGTATCTCAGCCATAACTTGATGAATGTTGATTTTTAAGTGCTCAAGTTAAAAATTTGCCTATAAATTTAACTACACAAAATCCAATGTCCAAATACATGTCTGTAATTTTGAAACCACGAAATGGATAACTCTATATTACAGTTTTTCCAAATCTTGTACGTACATTTATTCATATACATACATATAATATATACTATATATGTGATTTATTTTTTGATTATCCTCATTTTATCATACTTTTCGGGAAGTTTTTTCTCCGTCGTCGCTGTTTAAAGAATATATTTTTTTCTTCAATTAATTTTTATCGATTTACCAATTTATTTGGTTTCAACTTTTTTCATATTTTTGCACATACATATTATTTTTTACGGAAATCGGAAAGCGAAAATATTAAATAAATAACCGTAAGCTATTTTATTTAAATTTCTGTCGAGGTGGTTGAAAGCAGGCAGGACAGGTATTTATGTATGGAGTTTGTAAGTATGCATATGTTTACATTTAAAGCCGAATGAAAACATATGAATGTATACATAAATGTGTGCACTATAAATGTATAATAAATATATTTGCTTTTAAAAAGTATAATAATATTTACTTAAAGGTTTAAATGTAGATTAGGGTGGACCAAAGCATATTTTGGCACTCAAACAATTTTTTTGTGGTAAAATAACGAAAAATGCTAGAAATGTAATAATTTATTATTTAAATATTGATACTACTTAAAGACTTTTATTTTAACAGAAAACCGACCGAATCCAAACGAAAATCTGTTATTATTATTTTTTTTTTTATTTTGTTTTAGGCGCTTTATAACCGCTGAAGCGATTTTCGGCCGCCGAACCACAAAATTTGTCTTTTACTATTTTTGATATTTTAAAATCTATTTATTGTATGTATGTGAATAAAATTTATAGTGTATGTTCTTAACCGAATTTAAAAGGTCACTCATTTATGTATTGGATTTTTTTTAAATTTAAATTTTATTTAATAATTAATAAATAATAAAATAAAGTATAATAAAATAAAAGTAAATGAAAGTAAATAAAAATTAATAATTAAAAATATTTAAACTTAGTAGTTCAAAAATATTATATATATAAATAAATAGAAAATTTGTAAATGAAAATATGTAGATATTAATGATTAAAAATAAGTAAAATTGATATATCAAACTTTATCAAAAATAGTAAATATTTATTTAAAATTGAAATAACAAAAAATAAATACAAAAAATTCTCTCAAAATTAAAAAGCCCTAAAAATTCGAAATATTATATCTCATTAGTGTGAGTATTATTGAATTACCGCAATATAACTATGTACATAAATAATGCATAGTCATGTGGTAATTTTAAAATGCTTCTTCTGAAATATTTTTATTTGCTGTTTAGTTTTCCTTTTGCTTAAATTTTTTAATTTTATTTTTGCAAGCATAAATTTCAAATATATAACTGGTTCTGCTGTCTACATTTAGTATATTTTTAGCAAAACTGAAAAAATAATGTTATGTAAACACTATAATAATAATTTTTTATTTATTTTGCCCAAATAGGCACGAAAAAGTACTTATTATTATTGTAATTTACGAAAAAAGAAATTACAAAAAATGCCAAATATTTTTTTTCGTCTACCATTTATTAAGCTCAATATAAATTATTGACTTTAAGTGGAAATAAACAGTGGCAAAGCTTTTTTAAAGTAATTTAGAGAAAATTCAAAAAAATTCATTCTAAGCGATAATCTCATTTGCTTTAATTTATTTTATGGATGTTTAGCTGCTGGAAAACTCTACATACGCTTAGTGGTACAGACTTACAGATATTATTCGTATATATAATATACATATATGAAAATATATAACACATAGCAAATATTCAAATATGAATAATACAAACATGTAATATATGACTGTACTCATTTGTATAATTACCGTCCAACCCTTTTCCAGAAGGGTTTAATATAAATATATATTTTTATTCCTTCATTGTTTATTTGAAATTTAGTCAGATAATGGTATTTGTTAAAATAAAAAGTTTTTCCAATTCACTTCAATGGTTTGCCTGTTAGAACACCACCCTTTGTTTCCAACACTCGACTGTCAATTCCAAGCAACCCTTATTAGTGTTTTGACCACTGTCAAATGCAGTTAAAATTTTCAAGTGTTTACATATTTATTCATGAGTTTTATTAGCTGCCACATTGAAGACTCAACTTTAAATAATTTGTTTTGTTTTCCTTTTTTTAAACTCAATTTATTTTTATAAAACTTGGTTGTTATTAAGGCAGAGCATTCTTTGCAAAGATAATAATAACAATTAAAATAAAACTTTAACTCTTTAGTGTTATATCAAGGAAAATATAATTTAAACACAATTAATCTTTCTTCCAGTAAAGTTGTATGTCCAGTACAATTTTAATGACATTTAAAAAATAATTTTTCAATAAAAATATGCTGGAGATATAAAAAAACGTCTGAGTATAATCAGTTAAATTTTTAATATAAAAAAGTGAATGTTTACTGACTCAAACATTCTTTTTATTCAAATCTCTCTTTGAATGATTTTAAAATTTTTCTAGCAATTACAAATTTTGCTTAGGACAACGCTGCGTATGCGTAATTTGTTGGGTTGCGATTTGATTTTTATTCCTTATACTGAGAACTATTGGTAAAAACTCAAAAAAAATTAATAATAAAAAATGAAAAATGAAGTTTTTAGATAAAAATGAGGGCTTATGTAACTTTATTATTATTTTTAGATTNAGAACTATTGGTAAAAACTCAAAAAAAATTAATAATAAAAAATGAAAAATGAAGTTTTTAGATAAAAATGAGGGCTTATGTAACTTTATTATTATTTTTGGATTCATGCAAATAAAATAATAATAAGAAAGGAAGTAAATTAAATTAAATTGAAATAAAATGCACAGAAAGGAAAGTAAAGTAAATATAAATTGAAAGAAAATAAATAAAATAAAGTATAATAAAATAAAATAATATAAAGTATAAAAAAATATAATAAAATAAATTGAAACGAAAAAAAATTAAACAAACTTAAATAACAAAATTAAATGAAGGAAGTAAATAATATGAAAATTAAATTAAAATAAAATAAAATAAAATAAAATAAATTTTTAATAATATTTATTACAGCACTTCTTATGCGTTGCTTACAAAATCAAAAATCTCATAATTTCACCGGAAATAAATAAGGAGAAGTTCCTCATAGTGCCGTAAGCGTAATATTGTTAAAAATTTATATTAAGAAAATTTTCGAAATCTTCCCCATTCTCAGGGAACGTGTGAAGCAATAAAGCTTTTATTTTTTTCCTAGAAAGTCTTTTTCTACTAGCAAATGTCTATGAAATTTAGATCAATCCATTTACAGAGTGCTGAGAAATTTATTCAGAAACAACACAAAATTGAGTTCTGAAATTTGCAGCCTAGAAGCGTTCTTTTTGGTATAAAATAAATGATAAGCTCGTTGTTCTTTGGGAACGGAATCACTATACTAATCGTCTCCCACCTACGCAAACTCAGTTTTTCAAAGCAATGAGGGAAATAAAAAAAAATTTTTAATAGAATTCAAAAAAAAAAAACATATAGCTGAAAACATATTTTTCGAATTTTCACCGTGAAAAACAATAACAATTTTTAAATTAATTATTTTAAATTAAAAGAACTGAAGCTAAAAAGATTTTTTCCATATATAAAATATTATTGTAACTTGCGAGCTCCAAGTAATTTGATTGAAATTAAAAAAAAAAAAAAATCAAACAAAAAAATTTTTTTTAAAACGACAATATTTTCTTTTCATTCTCAATAAACCATTTTTTAATCTCTTAAAACTAAAAAAATTCTGTTCTACTTACATTTGTTATTTTCAAAATTTTCACATATTTTTTTGCTTGCAGTTTTATATATTTTATATCTCTCAGCAGCTTATGTTATCATTTGAATTTAACAATCAGCAATCAATTATTGGAAATCAATGAACACTATTTAACGAAAAAAAGCTTTTCCAAACCACATTCAGTACATATTTTTATAAATTAAAATTTTCTTTCAATTTCACTCAAAGTATTTGTTTTTTTATTTTCACACTTCCCAATGTCTGTTCTTTTCTCATGTATTTTTCAGTATCGCCACTGCAGAAGTTTATAGAAAACTAAAATAAAATGTTTTTTTTTTTGTTATTTTGTTTAAATAAATAAATTATATATTTATTTCTGTTGCCAGTTTTTACACACGGCAGCTGGCAAGCTGGAAACACACTTCCATCAGCAACGAGATCTCGTCTCGCACTGATTGAGCAAGTGGTAAGTATCCTGACAGGATGCTGTTCGACGCTACGTACAACTATCGTCACCACTACTCTGACGCAGCAGCGCGCGAGATGTCGTCGCTTTGGGATTGTATGCGTTTTTTATCTGTGTGTGTAGTATTTTTTTTTTCTTTTCTGACTTTCAAACTTTTACAGCCTGTTGCTGGCAGAGCAGCAACAGTTGAGTGGAGTTCGGTTTTTTCGCTTGAGCATATATGTACATATGTAATTCCAAAGTGTGTGAGTGCCTGCGGAATTGTTTGCATGCATATATACATACATATAGTATATATATCCATGTATATGTATGTGCAACAAACACTTGTTGGTGGCTCTAATGCATGCGCTGCTTTATTTATTTCATGCCTAATTGACTTCGTATGCATTACACACATACATATATTTATTGAGTACACTGGTGCACCGGTGCGTATGAGTAAAGTGAAAATTAAAAGTATGTGTGCAATTACAGTCAGTGGGAGTAAGAAAAAAATAAGAAGAAATTATAAAATTTGTGAACTTATATAAAATTTATATAACACATAAATGAGTATATTCACTTATATATATATTTATTCTTATTTGATAACCACTTATTTCATAAAAATATAATTACTTTGAAGACTCATATTTGTATGTATGTAAGTAAGTGGTAAAAATAAATACAAATTATTCTTTTGCACGTGTTAACTTTATTTCCATTTATTTGCTTATTCTCCTTCCTGGTGATTTTTCTCGCTTATGCAATGTGCTCAAATAGTGAGTGGAAAATTGCCTTGGATTTTAATTTTTAGCATTGCGTACTGCCATTCGAAAGGCCAGAGTTCCAGTTTTGGTCCGACCAACATCTATATATTGTAGAAAATTAATTTAAATAAAAAATTAAGTTAAATTTTCTAGTTGTAGTAGTCCCTTGGCAGGGAATGTCAACGCTTCCGAGTGTATTTATGACATGTAGGTCTCACACAAAAATTGGAGGAGGAGCTCGGCCGAACATCGGTGTTTCGGACCAAAACCATGGTTTTTTGCCTCTTTAATTGGAAACAAAGTAGCAAATTGAAGCCCATTGAATGTTTGTTGAGTTTATATTGAGTCTGCCCCGGCCGCTAAGTCATGCAGAAAGTGAATTCAATGCTTCAGTGGTGGTACTTTTAGCCTCAAGCCAAAAAGTCTGATGTCTAAGAAACATGCCAAAGGCTAAATGGCCTCAAAGAAACCTTGGGAGTACTTCAGTAAATAAATTCCGCTCTGACTTATGTTCAAAAGCTAAGAAATTGGGAGTCGTACGAGTTAAAGCCGATTGATGTCGATCAAAAGAAGGGATTTTTACATCGGATCATGGCTGGCGATGAAAAGTCTATGTATTACTACACCGCTAGAAGAGAAAATACCATGACAAGCCTGGTAGAAATGGTATTCAAATTTACCAGAGAGTTGGAAAAAAGTAGTCATTTTCGACGAACAATACAAAGATGTAGTTTTTACTTTTTCTCAATAAAATCCCTTTCGAACACAAAAAATGGAGCGAATTAACTTTCTAATTTCACTTTTTATATTTCTTTTTTTTTGTTATTTATTTTAAGAGTAATTTTTTAATGAAAAAAAATAAAAAAAAACAAAAATGTAAATAATTAATTCCGAATTATTTATGTTTCTCACAGCAAAGACTCAAATATAAAAAAATTTCACAACTAAATCACGTTTATAAAACACATGTTTTCAAACTGCATTTTTAGTCACAAAACCAAACAAAAAATATTAATAAACCGGTTATCTATGGCCCTTAGCACGTGTTTGATATCTTGAAAAAATTAAAGGTTAAATGCTCATAATGGATCTTTTCTGAAAGTGAATGCAAACATATAAAAATTAAAAAGAACTACTGCTATATGTGTATATGTATGTAGTAAGTAAATCCAATTTCTAACTCGATTGGCAAGTCGTTTCACACATATCGAAATTACTAAACCTGAGAAAAGGTAAAAAAAGTAGTTTTTTTAACTTCTATATACAAAAAGAGTACATACTTACATATCTATGTATGATGTATGTGTGTATAACTTTTATATATGTATATGAATATTGTGCACAATACGTTGGTTGGGGTTTCAAGACATTTTGAAGCAACAGGTAAGCAACTTTTTCTTTACTTCTTACATCTACACAATTAACTGAAAAAAATGCTGAAGAATTTGACGTTCGCGTGCTTCTCACTGTATTAGGGCAATTGCTTAGTTGGATTTTGTATTTTTTTATTTTATTAATTTTTTATTTTTTTTCGGAAAAACTTTTTTTCGCAGTTTTCTTCTCACATACAGTTCTCACCTGCTGCATTATGCATTGTACACATACACAAACGTTTGGTAAATTATAGATAAATGTCGTAAATATCGAAATAAGGGGGAAAAATAACTTTTATTGATTTATTTGTTTGTTTTTTGGCTTTATTTTTATTTTATTTTTTTTTATAATTATTTTTACGGTTTTTGTTTTTATTTATGTTTTATATTTGCTTTTTTATTTTATTCTTATTTTTATGTTTTTTTTTTAATTTTTTTTTGTCTTATTTTCATATTTGTTTAATTTTTAATTTTTATTTTTTTTAAACAGAACAGCAGAAAAACGAAACTAAAAAAATAAAAATAAATCCAGAAACATTAAAGTAAAAAAAAGAAAAGAAAAAATATAAAAATAAAATAAAATTTAAAATATATAAAAATTGAAAATGAAATAAAAAAATATAAAAATAAATATAAAAGTTAAACTAAAAAACATAAAAATATAAATAGAAAACATAAAAGAAAAATCTAAAAAGTAAATATAAAACATACAAAAAAAAAATCCCAAAAAAATAGAAACCATGAAAATAAAAGGCATGTAATTTTATTTTCATGGTTTCTATTTTTTTTGGATTTTTTTTGTATGTATAAATATTTACTTTTTAGATTTTTCTTTTATGTTTTCTATTTATATTTTTATGTTTTTTAGTTTAACTTTTATATTTATTTTTATATTTTTTTATTTCATTTTCAATTTTTATAAATTTTATATTTTATTTTATTTTTATATTTTTTCTTTTGTTTTTTTTTTTACTTTTATGTTTCTGGATTTATTTTTATTTTTTAGTTTCGTTTTTCTGCTGTATTTAAAATTTATTTTTTATTTTAATTTTAATATTAAATAATTTCTAAGCTGATTTTAGTAAAATAAAGTTCTTTTAAGCACTATTTAACTATATTTGATTATTTTTTGTTATGATTAAAATGTATACTTACTAAAATTTTTGTTTTAATTTACTTTTAAATATTTTAACATTGTCATCACCTCTACAGAAATTCATTGAGATATTTTATTTACTTTTTTCATTTATATTTATTTTAAAATTATTTTTACTATTTACTTTACATTAAAAATGCACTAATTTTAATACACTTAATCCATAAACACTAAATTATTATACTTTAACCGTTATTAATGATGCACTTTCCAATTACTAAAATGTACCTTTTGAAAATAAAAGATTCTTTTATCACTTCTTAAAATCCTTTTTTCTTTATTTTTATTATTTTTAAGTCTCTTAATTATTTTTTATGACTAACGATATAAACACGACCGTGCTTTCAGCTCTACCAAACCACCGGCATTGACATTTCTCACGCACTTGTATACCGCCAATGCGGTGTTTCTATGCTTTCTTAACATAACGAGTTTCTTCGAATATCTCTTGCATATACCGATCATTGCCCTAACAACTTATTATTGTCTATTCATGAATTTGTTTATTGCTGTTGTTATGTTTTTTATTCTCTTTGTGTGGAACGACCTTTGAAAAAAAGAATGCCTATGAATTAAATTAAATCCACAAACTCAAAAATAATAATGAAACTATATGGGCGAAACAGATTTCCATAAGATTAAATTAATTAAAATTAATTATTTGGAATTAATTTGGCGCAGTTAAAGTGAATACCTGTATATTTTTCGAATTAAGCACAAAAATAAAAGTTGATTGTTAGGAAATGAAGAAAAAGAAGACCTTATTGAACTTTAATGCTTAGAGTTTTGCAATAAAAATACCTTGAGATACATAAATATTTTAAAGATTTTGATCCAACTATATTTAAATTTTTTATTTATTTAACTTTATTAATTTATTTGTGGTTAATTATAATGAATATTAACATACCATAAAATTTATATACAGATCGTGAGATAAATAGTAGATAGATATGTATGTATGTTATGTATAAAAAAAATGATAACTACAGTACGGAGCAAAATAATATTATATATGGGCTGGATATTTTAAAAAAATTTCAAATAATTATAGCTCAAAGTGCGGATTGAGGCTTTATTGTTTTTTTTTATTTTGTAAATTTTTATTTTTTTTTTCTAATTCTAATCAAATTAAATTTTATTTGTTTAATTCTTTTTCCTTTTTTTATCAATAAATAAAATATAATATATTGTTGCGAAAATGCGAGGCGAATGCCGATAACTAGTACATTCTAGAAACGATAAAACAAGAACCTTCCATAGCGAACAATTCGATGCTTCTACGCTTTCGTCGGCGATCAGCCGACTGCTATATAAGGGCGACACTCAGCTTCAAGGAGTTAGTTACAAAGTGAGCTCGTTGGCGTTAACATCGGTAAAGTCGTAAAGTAAACGTGTTGGGAATTGCATTTAAGTAAAGTAAATTGTGAAAGTTGATGCTAGTGATTGTAAATAGTAAAGTGCATTGTAATTGAATTATGAATTAATGAGAAAATAAAGGACATTAGATTAATTCTATATAACGAAAGAAACTGCAAATTAAGTTGGCGAGTTTTTATTTAACAATCCAGAGATCGTACCCGAAGGATTCAGAAAATAATCGAGGTTGATTTAATAAAATCGTAACAATATAATATAAAGGGATATGCAGGCTGTGCGCCATCTAGCGAATAAATTGTTGCCACTTTTAGGTGCAATTCCACATAT